GCAGGATGGGGAGATTAGGAGCTGGACTGGGACACCAGTAGCAGGATGGGGGCTTGTCAGCCACACCCGGCTGTTGGGATTTTAGCTGACTAGAGATTGGAAAAGTACAAGGCCGTAGCTAATTGCAAGTCCTGCACCTGCAAGATAGCGTGCCCTTGGGCCTAGCTGTAGTATGATAACAAATAGGGAAAGAGACATGAGAACAAGAGAGATGTAACCCCTGAGGAATGGGGAAGAGCTGGTGTTGTGGTGTGGCCAATCGACGGTGTAAATTACAGAATATTCATGAGTTTTTTACTTGCTGTATAAGTTTCTGATGCTCTCTTCAATAAATGGAACTTGCTGATGACTCATATTGAGCCCCGAGTTTTCCCTGCACCAGACAAATGGCTGGAAAACCGCAACAATTGGCGCCCGAACAGCGACCCTATGCACTCTACAGATCCTACGAACTTTACAGAAGACTTGTGGCCTGCGAGTCACAGTCCGGTGCAGTATTTCAGTGTCAGTCCCGACGCAGCCTGGGAGGCACAAAAAGCAGGCTCCTGCCTCAGGCAATCATATAGAGGAGACCTGGAGAAAGGCAAAAGGGCGGGCTTCGGTGCCCTGGCAACCTCATAGGAGAGTCCTGCTGACTGAATGCTGCCGACGTCCTGGAAAGGCTGCAGTGCGCTGAATATCAGGTTAAAAGGTAATACAGAGACAAGCGGCATATAATCCTCTTAAATGCTTTTTAGAAAAGCAGGGACTATAGACTGTTGACTTGGGAAGAGAATTCCCGAGATTGCTGCATATAGACTTGCAAAAACATGCGNTGGGGCTGGGATAGGATGTATAGGTGGCGGATGTGGATTCACAGGGCTCCAAGGGGTGAAATGGGAATTCATTAGGCTGGTATGGGATATCTTGTGATCTGTGAGTTGGGATGAGATCTGTGGGGTTGAGTTGGGGTCCATGGGGTTGGGATGTGGATCCATGGGGCTCCAAGGGGCTGGGATGAGGCTCTGTGGGTCTCCCTCAGACTCTGGTGCTCCATGGGGCTGAAATGGGGCTCTGTGGGTCTGGGACACAATTCCATGGGTCTCTGTGGGTACAATTCCCTCAGGTCTCCACACAAGGTTGCGAGTTTCTGGCTGTGAGCTCCTGTCCGATGGGAGCATCCGTGGATCCCACCAGGATGGCTACGACGGGCGGGATTTCATCTCCTTTGACTTGGAATCTGGGAGATTGGTGGCGGCTGACAGCAGTGCTGAGATCACCAGGAGACTCTGGGAACAGGATGGGACCGTGGCTGAGTATTGGATGAATTACCTGAAGCACATCTGCCCGGAATGGCTCCAGAAATACATCAGATATGGGCAGAAGGAGCTGGAGCGCAAAGGTGGGAGCAGAATTCCTGTGGGGATTTGGAATTTCGGAATGGAGGACTTGAGAACATGTCAATTCCTATGGGAATTCCATTGGTAGATCTCACCTCCATCCCATTCCCATGGAATTCTATGGTCAGATTTCACTCCCATCCCATTCCCATGGAATTCCATGGTCAGATCTCCCCTCCATCCCTTCCAGTGGGAATTCCATGGTCAGATCTCACCCCAGTCCCACTCCCGTGGAATTCCACGGATGTCTATCACTATTATCCCATTCCAGAGCCCCCTGATGTCCACGTGTCTGGAAGAGAGGAACATGGGATGCTGACCCTGTCCTGCCACGCGTATGGATTCTACCCCAACACCATCGCAGTCAGCTGGATGAAGGGGGGTGAAACCTTGGATCAGGAGACGGAGTGGGGCGGGGTCGTTCCCAACAGCGACGGCACCTTCCACACCTGGGCCAGGATCGAGGCGCTGCCGGAGGAGCGGGAGCAGTACCGGTGCAGGGTGGAGCATCCCGGAATGCCAGAGCCCGGGATCTTCACTTGGGGTGAGGCTGGGAATGTGGGGATTGGGAATTTGTAATTCCCAAATGGGAATTCCCCTCACCCTCCTCACTATCCCACTTTTCCCAGAGCCGACATCTGGCAGGAATCTCACTGTGGTGGTCGCTGTGTCCGTCATTGCTGCCATCCTCATCCTCATTGTCCTCATTGGATTCGGCATCTGGAAGCTCCAATCCGGTAACACACGGGATGGCGGTTGGAAAGGGACATGGATCCACCCGGCACCGTTCTGGGAATCCTGTGCCACTGACGCTGATCCCACTTTGTTTCCACAGGGAGGAGAGACTGGAAGGGATACAACCAGGCAGCCGGTGAGTTCCAGTGGTGGATCCAGCTCTGGATCC